TATTTATTTATTTATTTATTTATTTTGCAGAACCAGGGATTTGAACTCAGACCCTTGAGCTTGCCAGGCAAGCACTTATTCTACTGAGCCATCTTCCCAGCCCCTACACCTTTTATTTTAAGACAAATTCTCCAAGTTGCCCAGGCTGGCCTTCAATTTCCCAGGTAGCTGGGAATTTAAGTTGTGCATAACAATACCTGACAACATTCTTTCTTTTTTTTTTTTTTTTTTGGTGTGACTATTGTTAATTTATTATGACCTTGACAAAGTTTGAAACTATAAGGAACTATCCAGTGACATAAATTAAATTGAAATCCAGGGCTTTAAATTGGAATGAGTTCAATCATTTAACAGTCTATTTTCATTAATTTTGATGACAAACTGTGAAGATTTCCCTATCTACATGTACATAGTAAAAAAACATTCTTTCTTTAATGTGCTTCGTAGTCTTCACAACAATCAGATTAACATACTGTGTTAAATAAATAAGGAAACAGAGAAACATGATGATGAACTGTGAATTGGAGGGTGTGCTTAGAAGAAGCAAACGCATCTACTATTCCCTCCTTTCACAATTCCCACTGCCAGCCTGGTTGGACCGCAGGCTGAACATCCAACTGACACTGACTTTCTCACAGGTGCTCATCCACTTGTCACCCACTGGAAAGATTGTGGATGATAACATCCGTAGCCTCTTCTTTGGGGATTTCTTCAAGCCAGAGAGTGACAATAAAATCTATGATGAGATCACTGATCTGAAACAGCTCACAGTGGTCATGGAGTATTACCTGGAAGAATTCAACAACATCAGCAAGGCTCCTATGTCCCTGGTCATGTTCCGGTTTGCCATTGAGCACATCTCCAGGATCTGCCGGGTCTTGAAGCAGAACAAGGGCCATTTGCTCCTAGTAGGGATTGGGGGCAGTGGGCGACAGAGTGCCACTAAACTGTCCACATTCATGAATGCATATGAGCTATACCAGATCGAGATCACAAAGAACTACACAGGCAATGAATGGCGGGAAGACCTAAAGAAGATCATGCTGCAGGTTGGGGTGGCCTCCAAGAGCACTGTGTTTCTCTTCACTGATAATCAGATCAAGGATGAGTCATTTGTCGAGGATATCAACATGCTTCTAAACACAGGTGATGTGCCCAATATCTTCCCAGCTGATGAGAAAGCGGACATTGTAGAGAAGATGCAAATGGCAGCCAGAACAGCAGGAGAGAAGATTGAAGTCTCTCCTCTTTCTATGTACAACTTCTTTATTGAGAGAGTAAAAAAGAACCTACACATTGTGCTAGGTGAGAAACAGCAAATTCCATTTTTTTTTCTTTTGGTCATTGGTGTCTTAGGGTCTTCTGCGTACTGTAATCCCAATGCCCTTGGGACAGTGGGCCCAAGATTGATCTGACCAAGGCACCAGCCAGGGTCTAGCCTGAAGTTCCTACTCTTCTCCTAAACAACTGTTTAAAATCTGCTCCACTACCTTCGATTCTCTCAATTCTCTGTGAATGCATTTAGCATATTATTATTCTACAGCTTTAGTTTCACCTGGTACCCTCTCTGTGAATGACACCTTCTATCTATCCAGAAACCTAGCAGTTGTGTCAAATATTTCTTCTCATGACCAATCCCTTTGATTTTTGCATCCTATTTCTCATACCTGCCCTCTTATCTCCATCTCCACTACCCTCACAGTAGCTCAGTCACTATTATTTCACCCAGACCTCATCTATAAAAATTTCTGCTCTATGTCTGTTCTAGATCTTTAGTTTCACTGAGCCAGGGTGATTTTTTTTCATCATATTGCAAATAAGATCATTGCATATGTGTGTGAGTATGCATGCACAGTACACATACATGCACACAAATTAAAACCCTGAAATTGCTTTCTTGTTAAGGACAAAAATTTCTACCCCATGGTCTTATGAGTTCATCTCTTAGCAAACCAAGCATCTCTTCTCTCTGTTCATCCACACTGGTTTCCCCACACTTCTGCCTAGCAGTATGCCTCCTTCTACTACTTCAGGTAAATAATGAATGGAATTTGGGGTATAGGACCTGAACTTTTTAGTTGGGTGGAGGTGGGGTCAGAAGCAAGCTGAGGATAACTTCTGTGAGTAACTATGACTGCCTGTGACTGAGTCAGTGTAGATATAGCCAGTGGCTCCAGCCACTTGAAGGGGCCCACAGGACCTAGAAGGCACAGTGTCATATATGGGAGGTCAGTCATAAGACTACTGGGACATCTGACAGCCCATCTCAAAGTAACGTGAAAATGCCCCAATTTCTCTGGGCTACCCAGGCAGTTGCTATGTCTGGTCATCTCTGTACCTTCAGAGCATCGAAACAGGCATAAGGCCACCAGTACTCTATCTTGGCCTACCAGTATCCTTGGAAATATTGATCTGTCCCCTGCCTTTGAAAAGAGGAATTAACTAAGCTTACTTTTCATTAGCCATGAGTCCAATTGGGGATGCCTTCAGAAACCGCCTGCGGATGTTCCCTTCATTGATCAATTGCTGTACAATTGATTGGTTCCAGTCCTGGCCCACTGATGCCCTGGAGTTGGTAGCCAACAAATTTCTAGAAGATGTGGAACTTGATGACACAATTCGGATAGAGTAAGTGTTAGCTACATTTTAGTACCTTGAATATTTCAAACTGAAAATCTAGATGCTTAGGGTTTTTTTTGTTTTGTTTTGTTTTGGGTTTTTTGGTGGGGGGTGGCACCAGGAATTGAACTCAGGGCCTCATGTTTGCCACACAGGCACTGTGCCACTGAGCTATATTCCTGGCCCTGGATGCTTGTTCTATTCATATTGTCTTAGATTTCTCAATTTACATATAAAAAATGTCTCACACTTAATTGAATCATATTTAGTCAGATATTTAATAAAACACCTTTTATGAAAATAATAAAACATCATTTGCTCAGAGCTGTCTTGGAGATGTGCAGATATAGTAATTTAGTTACATCAACAGTCTTCAACATACGTTCTCAGTTGGAATGGCCTTGCTGTCAAGGGAACGAAGTGGTCCTTGGGAGGGTGAAAAAAGCACATTCTTTTATGCATAAAGCACAGATATATAAAAGTTTTGGCTAGAGTAAGGGAAAGGATGTGACTGCCTTCCACCATAGGTGTTCCAAGAATCCAACTGCTTTATCTTCCCTTATTATCCTGCTTATCAAGTGCCTGCTACATAATAGGTTCAATTACTGTTTATTAAATGAATGAATGAAGTAGGCAAGGTCAGGCTATCACTGATCTTAAATTCGATTTTGACACTTTTACACTTTATTTCTCTAGACCAGAAAACCTTTAACCTGAGTCCATAGGCTTATGGGTGAAATTTATTTGGCAAATATGTATGGGGATAAATTACCATCATTTCTACTGACATTCATAGAGTATTGGGTATTTTCTTTAATAACGAGGGCAGGTAATATACCCCAATTCAACTCTCTGGGCCTGTGACTTTGTTGTTAGTGACAATCTCAGCTCTTCTCACAATTTACTTATTTACTAAAGATACGTATATACAGCACTTCCTTTAAAATTATGTTGGTTTTTAGGCCTACTGCTGAATCATGTTATTTAGTACAGTGGCTGGTGCCCATGATCCATGGGCCACGTTCCATTCACACCCTAATTCTGTTAATAAAGTTTTATTAACAGAATAAAACTTGCCCATTCATTTATACATTATTTATAGCTGTTTTTGAACTACAGCTATGGACCTAAGTAGTTGTGACAGGCACCATGTGACCTCAAAACACTGAAGTATTTACTGTCTGACCCTTTTCAGGAAAAATCCATGGACTCCTGACTTAATGCATTAATAAAGAACCTCTATTTTACAAATTTGGTTTTCAAAATATTTTGAAAAGTGTTTCAGCATAATTGATTTCCTTGGTAATCCTATATATCCTATACATTTTAAAATGTAATTCTGCAAATCCAGGTGGCTTCTTCAGACTGGTAAAGGTTAGGAAAGTCCTGCTTAAATCCTGGTGACTCATTTAAGGGCTAAGAGGTCACTCCAGTCACCTCTCCCTTCTTCTTTACCTTGGTTCTGTTGACCTACTCAGTTCTAGTGGGCCACAGTCAGTGTATATCCCTTCCTACACCTTTATGTTTGTTTCCAAAGATGTGCTAGATTTCCTTGTAGGAAACTGAGTCACATCTAACGGTTATGCTATTCCTGGCAGGGTCATCTCTATGTGTAAATACTTTCAGGAGAGTGTGAAGAACCTGTCACTTGATTATTATAATACACTTCGAAGACATAACTATGTCACCCCCACTTCTTACCTCGAACTGATTCTAACCTTCAAGACACTCCTGAATAGCAAGAGGCTTGAAGTAGATATGATGAGAAACCGATACCTGACGGGCTTACAAAAACTTGACTTCGCAGCTTCACAGGTGAGCACTGCCCAGACAGAATAGGGCGAAAGAGGGCCAGGATGCAGAAAACAGGACGAGTCCCTTGGTCAGGTGCTGCCGTTGAGGCACCAAATAAGGGTAGTAGTGCACAGCTCGCCCTGCTTGCCTCATTCTAATCCCATCTTCGTTTACAATTTTAATATTCTGCTCGTCACAGAGTATTTTTGGCATTAATTTTGACCTTTTAAAATATTCCAATAAAGTATTATTTCAAGCACTAAGTATTTCGTGTTCTCTTAAAGTTAACTTCTGAGATGAAGGTTGTAGGCTTTGTGGAGTCAGATCTTGGTTCAAATTCCAACTGTCAGACTCACCAGCTATAGAACCTTCAACATTGTTTCACCTTTTGGGGTCCCACTTGCCTCTTTTACAAAAAGGTGATGACAGTTTTTACTGCAAATGGCTATTAGGAAGATCAAATAAGCTGACCTAAATATAGCCTTCAGTGAAGTACTTAGCATATGAGTTATTAATTAGTTTGTGCTTGGAGCCACTTGACAAATTATCTAAAATTAGAGCCATGTTATGAGATGGATTTTTAGCACCAATAAAGAACTATGGCAATGGGTTGATTTGCTGTGGGTTAGTCCATAGCTATGTACAGCGAACCCTTGAATATTATAACAGTGATAGAGAGAACGTCAGAGGCAGCCTCCGCTGCTCTGCTCTTAGGGATGTGAATCCATCTCTGTGTCCTTGGCTTTTAGAGGAATGTTGGAAACTAGAATCTTCCCAGAAGACTGACCTCTGTCTGTTTCTTTCACAATCTTAAAAAGGGTGAGCAAACTATGTTGCTTTGGAAGCAGCAGGGAGAATTAAAACAGTCTAAATCAAGAAAAGGAAATGACAGTGGCAGTTAGCATTCTTTGAGCTCTACCAGATAACCCACCGTGTGTGTATGTGTGTGTGTGTGTGTGAGAGAGAGAGAGAGAGAGAGAGAGAAGCGCTGTTATCATCACCACTTAAACAGAAACAAACCAGGAGACGCCAGGTGGCCTGCCCATGATCACATGGCCTGGAGAGTAGCTGCACCAAAATTGAAGCTTAAACCCGCTCAACTCCAGGATTTGCGTCCCCAGCCTGGCCAGTGGGCCATGCCTCCGCTCTCACACAGGCTTGCTGGTGACCGTGGGTACAGGATCCGAAGACCCTCTCCAAATATTTGAAATCCAATGCCATATTTCTTAGCAACCTTATAGGGAGGACTTAGTGCTATGGGGTGGTGGGTAAATTCAAGTTCTTCCACAGAAAAATCTAGGAAGTTTAATTGTCTGAAAAATGACACAACTCTCCTGATAGGTGGTAAGCTCTGCCTCATTAGAGGTGCTCACAGACCAGTCTCAGTTCTTTTAGGCTGGCCTGACAAGATTCCATAGTCTGGAGGCCTCACTAACAAGCCTTTCCTGGTTCTTGCTGTGTTTTCACACAATAGACACAGAACTCATGTCTCTCCCTTTCATAAGGACATGTATCCCATCATGAAGGCCCCCACCTTCGTGACCACACCTAACTACAACTACGTGCAAAGGCCCTGCCTCTGAATATCGTGACACGGGAATTAGGCCTCAACATATGAATGGGGGTCACAAACACTAAGCCTACTGCACTGCTGGAAAAACTAGCCTAGAAATTCCCTTCTATACCAGGTATCTGGTCTCTGTCTTTTTCCTTCACAATCTTAAAGAAATATAGCTTTTAAAAGTTTTTCTTAGCTTGCTTTTGACTTCTTTTTCCTTGTCCCCAACATTAAAAGAGACAAGGTAAGAAACTACACCTCCTAACAATTTTTATTTGCCATTGTATTACTTTTTCCTAGCACAGAGCTTGTTAACAATAATACATGATATGAACTCAAAATTGTTGAATGATTGAAAAAGCAAACAATAGTCAACAAATACATATCCAGCGCATGTCAAAATTATTAGTCTGTATTTTCTGCATATGTTGAAGCATGGGAAAAATAATTTCAACCCTTGCCAACTTTGTCATTCTTTTTGGCATTGACACAGCTGACCATATGTTCCTCCTACCCCTTTCTCCTTGCTAGGTGGCAGTGATGCAGGTAGAACTGACTGCCCTCCAGCCTCAACTCATCCAGACCTCTGAAGAGACAGATAAGATGATGGTGAAAATTGAAGCAGAAACAAGAGAAGCTGATGCCAAGAAACTTCTGGTTCAGGCAGATGAGAAAGAAGCCAATGCTGCTGCTGCTGTTGCTCAAGGAATCAAGGTACGAAGAACTGAGAGGAAAGGAAAGAAGAGCTAGTCCTGAGGAATGTGCTTGGCCATCCCCACCTTCAGATGAGATGAGTGAGGCTAGAAAGGGCAGGAGACGTCTCCAGTATCATGGCTCATAAACGATGAAGCAAGTCTTTCTGGTCCCTGGCTCTCTCCAAGAATATTATTTTCCAGACATCCTCCATCTGACTCAGAGTCAAGGCTAATATAAGTCATGATCTGACCTCATCTGTTTCTACTTTCCTGTCATTCACTGTAATCTGCCCACACTGGCCTGGTGATGATTTCTTAAACAAATACAGTGGGCATTCTCACTGCAGGGCCTTTTTCACTGACCAGAATGTTCTTCCTTTAGTTATCCATGTGGCTGTCTCCATCTTCACATTTTTGTCCAATTTTATCTAGTAAATTTTAAGTGTGGAACAAATATCTGTCAAAGAATAGAATGCTGAAGCAAAAGAACTCCATTTGAAAGTAATTTGTGTGGGCCTGTGAAATGGCCCAGCAGACTAAGTGCCTGGTTAGGTAAGCACAGGGACCTGGGATTGATGCCCCCAGCACCACAGGCCATGCTGGCCCCACCCTCAGACACACTGAGCCAGCCAGGACTGGGCATGGTGGGATACTGGGTGTGGTGGCGGTGCACGCCTGTAATCCCAGCACTGTGGAGGCTGAGAACAGGAGGCTCACTAGAGTCTAGCTGCATAGTATACCCTGCATCCTGTACCAAATACATAAAAAAGGAGTAATTTTTGCACCAAAGAAGTCTTGAGAAAGACTTGGCCTATACTCCAATATTAGGAAAAAAATCTCAATAACACTGATAAGATGTTACATCTTTCTCAAAATACTTAGAACATGATTCCATTCACATGCCACAACTACCCTGAGACTTAGGAATGGCCGCTGTTAATATCTGAGAGTTAATGATATTGAGGTCAGTGGTGGAATGGCCTTCCAGAGCAGTACAGTCAGTAGGCTTAGAATCTAAGGTTCTTCACACTTACCTCAAGGCACTTGTCCCTGTGCCCCTATTTAGCAGCTGGTGAATTCTTTCAACTGTTCTTCAAACTTGGGCTTGAGTGAGAAGTAGCTTGTGTCAGTCATCTGTCCTAGAAAGGCCATGGAGCAGTATCTCAACAAGCACAGGCTGTCAAATTGGCTTTTCTTCAGTGAATCCTGAGATCTAGCTTTTCTTGGGGTCTGACCCATGAGCTCAGTGTCACACAGTGAGTACCATACGTCAGCAATCATGAACCTTCTCTAGAGCTTTCAATGACACAAACAGCCCACTGCAGCACATGTGCTTTAGGTTCACCACCACTGGCCTAGATTATGTGAAAATTTGTTCACTCAAAGTCTGAGTGGCTTAGACAGAAGATAAATGGAAACTGTAAAAGAAAGTGACTTCCAGGCACCCAGAGCCATAATCTCATAGGCTTTTTACCATTTGAGGATAAAATAATAATAATAGCTACTACTTCTCAGCACCATGGAGATTTTTCTATAATTTCTACTCTTACAAAATATTTCTTGAACACCCTATGTGCTGGTACTTTTTAAAAATATTTGAAAATAAGAGTGAACAAGAGAGACAAATTCTTTCCATCATGGAGATTGAACTTTTGTTTGTTTGCATTTTCTTTAATTATCCTACAATACAAATGACCTCATGCCCATTTTACAGGTGAGGAAATTGTGATGTAGAACTTGTTCAAGATCAAACAGCTATCCAGTGACAGAATCAGCATTCAGATCCACAGCTCTTTGACTCCAAAGCCTTGGCATTAGGCCATTATTCCAAAAGTTGCAAAGCGGTAGTCAGGAACCACATGTATACTGACATGCCTAATAATTTATTTTAATGGCCATGAATTTCTTCAAATGTTCATTAGCATGGAAGTATATTTTTTCTCCATCAAGTTTCAAAGATATTTTTGTAGGGTAACTCAATCTGGGCTGGAGTTTGGTTGCTTTTAGGGCTTGAAATACTGTACTCCAAGTTTTCCTTGACTAAAAGGTCTGGGTTAAGAAGTCGGCTGTAACTCTGATGGGCTTTCTTTTAGAGGTAATTTGTTCTTTTTTCTAACAGCTTTAATATTTTGTCCTTGTATTGGATTTCTGGAATCTTGACTGTGCCTTAGCATAATTTTTTATCATGGTTAATTGGAGTTCTATATGATTCACTTACTGTATGTTGATTATTTTTTCCATGTTTGGGAAATTTCTTGTAAACAGGTCTTTTTCTGTCATTTGTCCTATCTCTTGCTTTTTCACAGACTCCAATCAATCTAATATTCTTTGCATTATCTAGTAGCTGTTGTGTTGATTCTTTGTAGTCTCTTGTTATAAGAAATCTTTCTTTTAATGACTATTAACTGCAAACTGATCTTCTAGATTTGATATTCTGTTCTCACATTGGTTGATTCTTCTGTGTATATTTTTCATAGAATTTTTAATCTCACAGATATCTGTTTGAATCTGTTTCATGGATTCCATTTGTTTCCTATGTTGGGTATTCATAGTTCCCATTATTTTCCTAAGATTCTCTTTCTTTTTTTTAATCAATATTGACTCTAGATTCACTATCCATGTTTGTCATTATGGTTACCATCTCTCTAGTTGCCTGAGAAATTATTACTGATTTAATTTTTTCTAGCACCTCATTTATCTGCTTTTTTACTTCCACTGTTTCTGTTTCAGTGAGTTCAAGTGAGTGGCTTTTGAATTGTTCCACCTCACTGCCCCTAGGTTTGCCTTGGGCAAGCTGGAAGTCTGGGGTTGCACCTTGCTTCTGTACCTTCTCATTTCCTGTTCTAGATGCAGCTGGCTTTGGGCTCTTGAGTCTGTTGCCAGACCCTACCTCCTCGGTGTATTGGGGCTGAGAAGTTGCTGCCTGTTTGGGTTAGCCCGGGCCTAAAGTATTGTTTGTAACCCTCAGGCAATTTAGTCAGCCATTGCAGTCTAAAGTGTCCACCACTCTATTTCCACTGGTGCATCTCTCCATGTGGGCCTCTGGAGTCACCAGTAGTCACTGTGCCTCCATAGGTTCCAGCTGCCTTTCTCATGCCATGAGCCAAGATTCAGGGACAAATCCACCTGCCATCTCCCTCTTCTGTGTTAAGGTCCCTCTCTTCACACTCCCCGTGGGCTCCAATTCTCACTTTAGATACTCACTGGGTTCCAAGGACCCACTTCTCTCCTCCGTCTCTTCTCCACATTATTATATTCCAGCATCTGAACTTCAAATCTCAGAGAGGCTGATTTGTTGATCACCACTCCACCATCTTCCTGGAAGTCAATAATTCATTTTAAATCAGAATTGTAACTTTAACATTCAGGAGATGTAAAATACAAATGCTGAACTTTAGCTTTTCTTTTAAAATAGCAATTATTTTATCCACATCTGTCTTGCATTCCTGGGTTGCACCTACTGGTGTACAGATGCTGCCCCACAGGTGAGCCTCAGCCAGCCCACTCCCCTTGCTCAGGTCTGGCCCCTGGTGGCACAGGAATCCACAACTCTTCTGTGGCTCTGGACTGGCATCAGGCATGCTAGAGCTCAATTTCTTTGCCCCTCCCTAACTTTAGCTTCCTCATAAAATTGGGGCATTAAGCAAAAAACATGTGAATCCTGTAACATGTGCCAGAGCTTAAAATTCATGTTAGTTGTTCTCCCAAAGTGCTGTTCTTTGTCCTATACCAAATGTGGTAAAGTCCAGCTTCTAACCACACATAGAGAATATCAGAAAGGGAAACATCACACCAAGACTCTGCTCTGTAATGTCAGGGAAAAAAACAGTAACTTCTGGAACCACAGGGAGATGAGTGATGACAGAGGTTTCTAAGGAGATACCCCACGATTCCGCACCACACCCTCATCCAGGCAATGAATTGCACCTCTGGTTTCAGTGGGAAGGGTAAGGTTTAGTGCTGTCCATGAGGTAAGTCAAAAGACAGAAGAAACCATCCAGGCAGTAGAAGAAAGAAGCCTGCATTTCCTCTGCACTTCCCTGAGGCTTTGTGTGGGCCAGAAACTTTCCTTGGACGCTTCAGGACTTCAGTCCTTCCGGACAGCAAGACTGTGGCTTTCTCAGCTCACCTCACACTTCTGGAAAGGATGGAACATGAGGGAGTGCACCCTGTAGTGCCTGATTCCCAGTCCAGATGCCACAGTTCTGAGAGGTGGTACTCGTATTGGAAAGACCTGGAGACAGCAAAAGAAAACTGTGGGCCCCGACACTTATTCTTGAGTGTAACCGTCCGCTTAATGTGGTCAGTCCTTCCCCACCTAATGCTTCGCTTCTTTCCTCTCTACTGAGGATGATCTGCCAGAACTGCTTAGAACCCATGACATGTGATTGAGAGCCCTTGTGCACCTTCCTTTGCTAAGACAGGGGGCTGGCTTTAACTGTAAGGTTTTTATCACAGAAACAAATGTCATCACAACATATATGAAGTAACTTCTTAAGAACACAATTTTTACTCAGTTTCAACTTCAATTAGAAGCTCTCATCTCTCTCCACACATGTGGATAGCTTTGTGTTATTGCAATTATGACATAGTTGTGATTCTTTTTTTTTTAATTTTATTTATTTATGTGTGTGTGTGTGTGTGTGTGTGTGGCCAGCTCAGCCCACCAGGGGGCGGGGCGGGCTGGCATGTGGTGCTGGGGGATTGAACCATGGTCCCCTTGTTTTTGCCAAGCTTGTTCTAAGTAGGTGCTTTAGACCACTGAGCCATCTCACCAGCCCCATAGTTGTGATTCTTATCACACTTATTTCACTTAACATCCCAACATATTATTCCAAACTGTCACATAATTGTCTTGGTGACCATTTTGAGGAGGCACCTCCCATGTCAAGAGGCCATTCCCCTGCTGGGTATTGAAGTATATTCCCTCTTGCACTTGGTGTTTGGTGTCTCAATAGTGGAAAGAACAGTTTCTCAACAGAGATGTGTGTCAATCATCTTTGGAGTCTTAGAAATGTG